AGGGCGGCGGCTTGCGAAAGGCGAGAGCCTTCAACATCAGAAGCCTAGGATGAAAAGACAGCGACGCAGGGCGGTGAGGGTTAAGAGACGAGCCGAGCCGAACCGAGGCCTCCTTGAGGCCTTTCGCACGGGGGGGCTAGACAAAATTATCAAACTTGGAAAGGCCCCCCAAAGACGGGTAATGCTTGTTTTCGGGGGTGGTGATGAGATGCCCCCGCCGCAGCTTTGGCGAATCCAATGCCGGCCAGAATATCGGGCCCAAAATTGAAGCCCCCCCCATGATGTATCCAGTTGGTTGGCTGCTCACGAACTCGCCCAGGTCGCCGAGGATATCTTTGTTTGCGGCGTCCAGCCCGACCGAGTGGTGCAGGTGGGGCGAAACTGAGAGAATGGCTGGGCTGTCAAGCGCGCGGCGCTTGCAGGCTAGGCAGCGGCCCCGAGCGATGGCGGGGGTTGGCGCAGAGTAGAGCCCGAGCCAAGCCCTCGCACATATAGCCGCGCCAACACTGTCTCCTCCACCTTGTGGCCCAGGAATAGCAGCCAATCATGGGGATTTCCATCCTGCTCTCGACGCCGAGACGGAAGCGCGATCGATGGATTCAGGATTCCCCAGGCGGTGCTCTTGGCAAAGAATAATGTGGACAGAATAGTTAGGATCCTCCAGCAAATCTTTCATGGTTCCCCACTCGTTGCAGTTGATGGTCCAAACCTCCAATTCCACGCTCTCGGCGCCCTCTGCGCCCCCCCCTGGGTTCTGGGCCCGAGAGGCGGCGGAGACAGGGGAAACGTAATCGGCCTCGCCTTTCGGCCATGGCGGAATCTCATGCGCCTCCGCGGGCGAGGATGCCAACGAAGGGCAGTGCTCCCGTAGCAACCTCCTACTAGTAGCAGGCGTGCAAAACATCCTGGGGACACACGTGGGAACGCTCATCCAAGCGTGCAACTCCAAGGGGAAGTTGCCCAGCTAGGCGAAGCTGCGGTTGATAAATGGCAGCGCGCCTCTGACGCCATGCGTTTGACCTGCCCCCTCCCTTCCCAGGGAGGGGGGGGGGGGGGTCGGGGGGGGGGCTCGGCAGTGACAGGCAGGTGGGTGTCAGGCTCAGAAGGCCCAGGCCTCAAAGCCGACGTAGGTGAAGCAGAGGCCGACGACTGTGCCGGCCGTTCAGCGCCCCCAGCAGCTGCAGGAGCTTCGCCACCGCCAGCAGAAGTATCAGTGGCATCGCCTGAACCCGTCTTGCGCTTCTTGCCGCGCCCTGCAAGATGCCTGGCATGCTGCTCCTTAGCCTCCTTGATCTTGGCCAGCGCGTCCTCGAAGAGAGCCTTGACAACCTCGCGCACTTTGCCCGACAGCTCATCCTTCCGCTGCTGAATCTCCTTCCCGTCATTCTCCTCGAGTTCGCTCGACATCTAGCACGTCAGTGGACATGACTTTGTCGACTGGAACGGACCCGCCCACCAGCTGCTCGAGGGTGACTTATGCCACAGGTGCTTGCTCAGACGGCACCTGCTTTTGCAACTACTTGACGACCGTTTGGTAGGCTGCATTGGCCTTGCCAAGTTCTGCATGCAAGTCCACGACCTTCTGCAGCTGCTCCTCAAGCTCGGCCCTCCTTTTGCTCAGCTTGGCAAACTCAGCCTGCAGAGCATGTTCTTTGCGACGAACAGCTTCGTAAGCCTGTGATACCTGCTGCTGCAACGAAGGAGCAGGAACTCTCTCGGCCCTGTCAAGAGAGAGCGCGAGGGTGCGATACTTATTGGCCAGCTTGTCCTCTCCGGCCTTGGAGTGCAGCTCGGCGAGCTGCTTGGCCTCGGCAGAAGATAGACGTGGGACCGGGCCTGGCGGGAACGCGCCTGACGTCTCGTCGAAGACCTGGGGCGCCCCAGCGCCGCCCGTGCCTCCGCCAGCGAGAGGAGACTCGAAACCCTTGCCCTTGCCCTTCTTGCCCTTGCGGCCCAGCCTGCCTCCACCTCCTTTGTCACCGCGACCCTGCTTGCCACCGAATGCGGCCAGAGCGTCGACCTCTTCTTCAGCAGAAGCAAAGGGCGCACGAGACCAGGCACCACTGGGCGGGCGCTCTGACACGAACTGGACCTTGGGGAGGGTGGCGTAGCAATTCTTGCACCACTTGTAGTGCGCGAGTTTGCGCCTGCAACCGCAGAATGGGCACGCAATCTTCGATGGCGGAGTGATGTGCGAGGACTCTTCGTGCTCTCTTCCCTGGCGCACCCATGGATTTTTAAACCCAGCCGCCAGCACCGAGAGAATAATAACCATGAGCCATCGCAGACGTGTACAATGAAAATCAAGCCTGAACGTGTTGGAAAAACGAAATGGGGCAAGCCCCAGTACATATACTCAGAGAAACTCTGAAGAACGAGGTGGGGCCGCGAATCCCCTGGCCAAAAACTTTAAGTCCACTGAGCCAGCGCTACGGACTTGAGCTGAAAATTGCTACGGAGCTCATCTCACCATGTGTAATCACTTCTACCTGCCTCCCTCGATCCCTCTAAGCATCCGTCTTTCCTCGCTCCTCACTCCGTCAGACCACCCTCCCTCCCTCATCAATTCCTCCGCCCACCCCTCCCTCCTCGATCATCCCTCACATTTACTCCCTCCTCCCTCCACGCCCGTACTCCTCCTTCCGTCTGACCTCCCTAGTCCTCCTTCTCTCCTCCTCCTCCTCCTCCTCCTCCTCTTCCCCCTCCTCTTCCTCCTTCTGATCCTCCCCCTCCTCTTCCTCCTTCTGATCCTCCCCCTCCTCATCGTCATCTGCCTCTTCATCATCTTGTTCCTCCTCCTGTTCCTACTTACCTCCTCCCCTTCCTCCTCCCTCTCCTCCATGGAGTAATGTGTGGACACATGCATCGGTATGCAGTTCACCTCTGGACCGCGTGCTGCTGCAATCCCTTTGTCAAGGCAACTTGCTTTGAAAACTTTCTGCATGGCCCGGCGGGGGCGCGAAGCGTCAATAATTGTAGGCTTCCACGGGGTGGTAACGTGGAAAAAACGTCGACTCCGCCCTACCGAACGCATCCTTTGGTGCAACGACGAAGAATATCTTCATGCCCCCCTGCGGGCGGCCCACTTTGGAGAAAACCGCGTGGGGAAACGAAGCCTCGATCCTGCACCCGATATGTTCCCGCTTGTGTATTGGAGAAAGTCCCGGGCGGGAGCGCCATTCCGAAGTCGACCGAGAAAGGTTCGGAATCTGTTTCAGCGGAAGTCCCAAGTGGGAACGCCATTTCGAAATTATCATAAAAGATTTGAATTTTGTTTTGGAGGAAATCCTGTGCGGGAGCGCCGTTTCGAAATCGAACCAGGAGGGTTTCCAACTCTAGTTTGGAGGAAGTCTTGAGCGGGAGCACCATTTCGACATCGAGCCCGAACGGCTTTCGAATTTAGTTTTGAGAAAAGTCTTAGGCGGGAGCGCCATCTCGAATTACCGCTGAAGAAGTGCTGACCTCTCTTGTCGAGGAAAGCCTGGGCGGGAACGCCATGTTGAAATCGAACCAGACGGGTTTCGAATTCCAATCTTCAGGAATTTCTGGCCGGAAGCGCAATTCCGAAATCGAGCCCGAAAGGCTCCGAATTCTGTTTCGGAGGAAGTCCTGGACGGGAGCGCCATTTCGAAATCGAGCCAGAACGGTCTCGAATTCTAGTTCGGAGAAAGTCTTGGGCGGGAGCGCCATTTCGAAATCGAATCCGAAACTTTCGAAATCATTTGAACTTGTTTTTTACAGGGAAAGTCTCAGGCGAAACCGTCGTGCCGAAATGACCACACTGTTTGGCATTTCAGATTCTCAATTTCTGACCAGATATTTCGAAAGTGTGGCTTTCGCTTGAAACTTCCCCCGCAAAAGCAATTTCAAACGTTTTCGAAACCCTCGGGTTCGAGTTCAAACGATCTCGAAGTGATTTCGAAGCCATCGGGTTCGAATTCGAAAGGGCGGTTCCGCCCGAGACTTGAGCAAAACACTGCTTGAACAGAACATTGTACTGGGGCCCCGCGGCCTAACGAGCCCCATTGACGTCTCCTCTCTTATCGCGGGCGCAACGCCACTGACAACGTTGTACCGCGGCCCAGTCGCCTAACGGAAGGCGCTGCTTTTTGGCCGAACTTTCGTGGCGGCGAAGTGGCAGGTGGGTGAGTGTTAGCGCAGGAGCTGCGATGCACATAGTGCACGGTATGCTGCAGCGTGCACGGCGTCTGGCAGATTCGAGGCGGTAGGGCCACGCCCTGTAGTCCAGGGGGCCCGATATACGGAGTATGATTCTCTCCCTCCCAAACAATCAATACCACACCCTCCTGGCATCCATACCCGCCGACCCTCCACGTCAGGTAGCGAATCATGACTCGAAAACAGAGTCAGTAAAGTCAGATCTTGCCTGGTAACGCGTGCTGACTAGCGTAAAATATGTGGCTGAGTAAGAACATCAAGATGTGCCGAGTACCTACTGCAATCTAGAGGGTATTTGGCTATGTGTGAGGCTTGCGCTGGTGGCACTGGCTGGCCTTCCTCCTTGTCGTCGTCTTCGTCGTCGTCGTCGTCGTCCTCCTCCTCCTCCC